TGGTTTGTTTTATTTCATGCTTTTTTTTTTTTACTTTATCGGAGTTGGAATTTCCCATATCTCTTATTTTTTTACTTTGTACATTTTGATAATGGAATGTCCTGGGAGGTATATCAAATGTGGTGGCAATCATTTTAAGGGCTTTTTCCACACCAAGTGCAGAGCAATGCAGAGCAGTTACAGAACGCATAAACAATGCATCCAATGGTATTTTGGGCTCTAGTTCACACCAGTGCGTTCAGTTCCAGAGCATGAGGAAAAACTGCATCATGCCCTATTTTTTCTGCTCTAGAACGCACCAAAACGCACTGAAAGACCATTTTAGGCTTAAAATGTATTCTTTTATGAAAACAGCCCGGGAAACACGTCCAAATTGCGACAAAACACACTGCACTGCATAGGCAGAAACTCATGCAGATCTGGTCCGCATTTGGGGTGAACAGGCCCTAAGGGGCAGTAGGAAGCAGTGATATATAAAGGGACAGTAATAGCAGTGATCTCATGCATGTCCACAGACTCTAAACCATCTCTTGTAGCATAGTCTGCAGTCTTTGACAGTTTTCTGTAATAATATATAGTTAGAAAAAATGCTACTAACGCAAAATTCTATTTTAATTGATTCACACCTATCAAAGTGTATAATTAGCTGTGGAGCATACGAATCCCATTCATTTCTCTTGGACTTATTTGCTTCTGGCACAGTCACAAAGTAATGCACAATTATATATTTAGAAATACTGTAAAGCCAACACATACAGAAGTAATATCTTATATATGCAGGGAACCCAGGTTATAAAAAGAAACCTAAATACACAATGAAATTTGCAGAGCAAGAACTGCCTAGATGTTTGATGCAACATGCAGAAACAGTTCACAGAAATCACTCCCATATAAAACAGCATCAAATGAGCAACCAGATATAGTGGATGTGAACCCTGTTAAAACTACCAGGTTCATTCTGTACAGACAATGATCTGCCTTCCAGCTGTAGACTGAATAAATTACAAATATTTCCTCCTATAGTAACAGTGTCTTTCATCAGAAATGTAAGTAGGCAAGGTACCTCATTAACAGGCAGACACTAATTAGCATTCTTCTGGAAGTTGATATGAGCTGCTGCTGAAAGCTATGTTAATGATATCACACCCATTCACAGGTCTTCTCCTGTCTGTATTGAGGACTCGCTATGTTGGCACGAAGAGAGTGATATCAGCATAATGTACCCACACCTTATTCGAAAGGCAGGAACCAGACAATTGTGCTACTATTACATTTTGTCAGAGTCATGACCAAAGAGCAGGACAATTTTTTTCCAAGTGGATGGAACGGACTGGATGCACAAGGATAATAGGAAACGGTCTTCACTGCATTTGTGCATTTAAACCAGCAATATTAATAACAATTTCAAAAGTGTGCAGGGCCTCTTTGATAAAACAAACCTGTGCTTTGTCGGGCAGAGAAACACATTAGTCGGTGTATAGGGTAATAGGGGAGCATGAAAGGAATTATAGGCTTTTTACACTGCCAACTATTTAGCAATCAGTATTTTTTCCTAAATGGACAAAGATTTGGTTTAATTTTATACAGACATCACACAAAATAAAAACAGGTACTGATCTGCTCATCATATAGTAAATGAAATAAATGTTTTACCATTTGAGTTATCATGAGAGTGAACACCCTCTCACTATCAGCACCATTTAATACATGACTAAAGGTGCCCATACACCTTACGATTGTCGGATGAAACTTTTCGTCGGATGATCGAACCGTCGTACGATTTTCTTACGACGGCCCCATTCTGCCCCGATTATCGAAAGGTTCAATCAGCGGTAGTTAAAAAAAACACCTGGACGACTTGCGGTAATTGACCGCAATTATGTTCGTTTGCGCATGCACGGTGTTAATCGTACGACTTTTGACGGACGGAAACGCCACCAACCATGCGAACATGGTATGATCGACCAAAGTTTTCAAACATGCTTGACCGTCAAGTCGTACGATTGTACAGTACTATCGATCGGGCACTTTATTCACACGTTACGATTGTCGTACGAAAAGTCTCTCGCAAACGATTATCGTACGATAATCGTAAGGTGTATGGGCACCTTAAGACTTAAAGGAGAACTATGAGGTGAGTGATTTTCAGTTTCATTGTCACAAGTTGGCTCAATAGATCGGGAAGTGAGCGAACACATACCGTCGCTCGCTCACTTCTCGATCATGTCCCTGCCGAGAGCCGTGACTGTCACTCATGGTTCCCTGCAGGGATTCCCCCCCTCTTTGCTCCGATCCTCCAGCGCTGACTGGCAGAACGGACAGGAGAGCGGGCGGGTACAGCTGGCTCTGCCTCTAGATAGATAGTCAGAGCCAGCTGTCAATCACACAGCTGGGTGGATGTCGACAGTAATGTCGGGATCCGTCCCGGTTGCGGCGGTCTCAGTATACTGGGCGGTATACTGAGCTTTGGGTCACAAGAGAACGCTAGTTTATGTCCTCCCTTGACCCCTAGGAGAATTATGGGGAAAAACACTTACCCCATAGTTCTCCTTTAATTTTGCTTATTACACAAAAAGGAGCATGATTAGCTTCACACATCACATAATTTACTTCAAATGCTGCTCCTCACCTTTATTTGTTAGGTTATTGGATTACAATGTCCTATAGGCTACATTTAGAATCAGAGCTGCCTCTGGTACCGTGTACCTTTCATAGTAAGTTTCATAGTGTAAAAGAAGTTATGCTGAGGTGGACATAGCAAAATCACAATGCCTGCACTAAAATACAGAGAAATTCAGCAAATATTTGCATTACTTCATCCACTATCCTTAAAGCCCAATTTCAGCTCCACTTGCTCCCATTCTTCCCCCTCCTCACCTGGAGACCCCAGCATCAGTTGTGATAATTGACTGTACTGTGAGTGTAGAGCGTTGTGATGATGCACCTCCAGGAAGTGAGCTAATTATGCTGGGAACCTGGAAGAGGAGAAGCCAGTCTTTTGGGGGACAGCACCAAAGCGATTGGGAAGTAGCCAGAGCTGCAATTTTGATAACAGCTGGAGAATGAATTAAAAAAACTAAAACTAGAATTAGCTGCAAATAAGGAATGACATGTAAATCTCAAATGTTTAAAAAAAAAAGACAATGCTGTATCTCTTACAAAACTTCTTGGACTTTTAACAATAATCAAACTGAAAAAACTTTTTCAGAGCTTGATAACTGCTTGAGAGATAAAACACCCAATGGTTTCCTATATGTCCCTATGGCACCTCAAGCAAAATATATATATATTGTATACATGCATCTGAGCTTCCAGGTTTTTAAACCTTTCGGAGCCATAATTACATGGTTCTATACTTTTTGTTTGATGTTTATCCAATATTATACCCTGCATTGTAAACTACAATCTACGGCCTTACATTTGGAGATCTCATAAAATGTAATAACCTACAAATAACCCTTTAAATGTTGTTTTATGAATTCCTAATGAAGGATAATACAATGCTACATCTATTGACAGAGTGAACAATTGTGGGCTGAAGTGCAGCATACAGTCTGATTTAGACCCTTTGGGGAAAATTCTTATCAGATATGGTCTTTAGGAACACCAGTGTCCCTTTTGCAAGAGACCTATAGCAGTTTATGTGCATGTTTCTGGTAAAAATTATTTTTTAAAAAGCTTTAAAAATGGGTTTTATGCCCATGTCACAAATCTTAGGGTGCCTATTGACATGAGACGACAGAAAATGTATGTCTATGGGAAACACCCAAGCCTGCAACTTAGTCACTGTACACTGGTCGTGTACAAGTCAGGCAGGTTTGAAAATCTGACCTTTATGTGTATGTAAACCCTAACAATGAACTTCTATTTACTCTCTTCTGATCTGTTAATATTACCAGTGTTTTGTTTTATCTGTGCAACAAAATTCCTATTGATCTTGTCAGAAATTGACAGCTGTCCTGTCCACACTTGTTGTGTTATCTGAAGTCGCCTACTTAGCTCTCCCAACTCTTATCTTGAACTACAGATCAGTTAGCGCACATGTTGCGGACATTATATACATGTTGCAGTTTAGCAAAAAAACAGCTGGGCAGGGCTGACACCACTCAGTCCAGAAAAATTATTTGCATTGTCAGCACACAACAGGACCTAGAGTTCATTTCTGGCACTCAACTTGTATTTTTCTGTAGGGTTTTCAAAGGGCCGGCAGCTCATACAAGCGATCCGCCGGCTCTAAAGCCGGCGGATCGCTTGTATGTTAACAGGCATCGGTGCCTGCTATTAAATTGCCGGTGTTTCCCGCTCACGAGCGCCCTGCGCACACGAGCGCCCTGCGGCGTGCGCAGGTGGGCGTGGCTGAGTGGACGTCTAAAGACGCCCGCTCAGATCTAGAGACCTCTCGGCCGGCCGTTTTTTTACAACGGCCGGCCCTGAGGTGGGTAATGTCTCCTGTGATTTTGTCTTTCTCTCCCCAGAAGTGAACTTGCCAGCTTCACAGGGCACATCTGGCTAACTGAACATGGCATACTCTGCAGCACGTGTTGGTTCATGTTGCCCCCCCCATCAGACTGTGCATGCTCATCTCGATTGCCCTCTAATTTATTTTTGGTGGGCCTTAGATGCTTTGTACACACAGAAATAAAATCCATGTAGTCCCACTGTCATAATCTACTGATATGAAGTTCCTCTGGTGATCCCCTCCCCATTTTTCTCAGACTTTTATACCTATACATTGATTTCAATCAAGGTAAACTAGCAGGACAAGTGAAGTGATCACCGGCTGGAGGATAACCGTTCTAAATCTTCACCGGGGCCATTGAAAATGTGAGCATAACATTACAAAAAAAAATGCCTTAATCACCTTTTATCCATAGCTTTATTGTTTGATTTGGCCAAAGCTTTCATTTGAGAGAAAAGTAATGCATGGCAGACAGCAATCTTTATTTGGCTCGCATCCCCGCAAAACAGTCCATGTGTGTATGAGAAAATCTGTGACTCACCTTCCTGAAGACTTTGTAACTCTGAATTGTTGCTCCTATAGAAGGTTCTGCAGCACACTGCTATTAGACCATGTAAAGAGCATTCTGCGGAAGCTTGCTGGAGCACATCTCGAACAAGACTGCAGACATGGCACCATTCTAACACATGTTTCTGAGGTGAAGAAGCAGATACCGACAGTACAAGGGTGGCACATGTCTTAGAGCTGGATATGGAGCCATTGAGCATAGCCTGGTAGTCCGATCTCTGTAGGGATGCTGAGAAATAACTTTGGTCAACAGGATCACTTACAGAAGCCAAGACATGCCATTCCACTGCAGCCCCACGTGGAAGCTTGGGAACTACAACCACAGTAAGCATAGGGGTAATATCCTGTAAGCAAAACACAAATACTGTCATTTACAACTGCGCCCATAAAAATAGACTTCCAGATGTGAAAAACCATTGTTAACTTGATGACAATCATGAACTAACATTGTTAGCTTGATGACAGCAACATGAAATACATTATACAGTATATATGCAACAGATTTTACAGGTAAGACAAAAATCCTGTTTTCTTGACTGTACTTCACTGGACACAGGAAGTTAAATTCTTTAACCACTGGGCCGTTCAAAAGTAGTTCAACAAAGGGGCAGGCAACACCACAAACAACATGCAACAGGTCCAAGGAACAACAACCCCAATAGGGAACAGATACCTTAAAACAAAGGCATGCCAAAGGTTGCAGGGCCGCCTGTAGGACATTTTGACCAAAATGCCATCTGCAGAGGCATGAATGTCCCTCTTGTAGAACTTAAAGTGACATTAAACCCTCAGATTTTTTAACATAAAACAATACTGTAATGTGTGCCTTACTGTAATCGATGGTTGTTTCCCTTCTCTTTGCTGCTCTTCGGAAGAACTTCCCTTTTCAGCTCAGGGCCTCTTCCTGTAGTGCTGGCTCAGGTTTCAAGCCTATACAAACGTATACACAGACACCGTGTATCCATTCCTGAGACAAGGCAGTCTGCTGCAAAACAGAAGTTCTGCAGAGCATGAGAACAGATACAGATTTAAAAGGAAGAGCAGCAAAGAGAAGGGAAACAACCATGGATTACAGTAAGGCACACATTACAGTATTGTTTTATGTTAAAAAATCTGAGGGTTTAATGCCACTTTAAAGAGGAACAGGGAAGTAGCCTTACAGATTTGGGAATTCGAAGACTGGTGCAGAAATGCCCAGGAACACTAACACAGTGACCGCAAATGGAGGGACTTTCCCCTTCAACTTATAGGCATGATGGTCTGTGCCTTCTCCTCGCGAAGGATGTCAGATTTATTAACAATAAAAGAAAGGTTAAAGATACTTACAATAATAGTTGATCACATGTGCACATATACACAATAACATCCCGCATCCAACCTCCACAAGTTACAGCAGAAAGTTTAATACACTGGCAACACCGGATTCTATGGGGCCGACCAGATAGCAACTGACATGTTTTCAGAGTATGAGGAATGGGGATACACCCCAGAAACATGTCAGCTGCTAATGCTTACGGTAGCTGGCTGGTCCATTTCATAGAATCCCATTAAAATGTTGTGGGGTGATTTGAAATGGGAGGTTTATGCAAAGAAACCCACAAACATTTTGCAAGGAGTAGTGGTCACAAATTTCAATGTCACAGACTGGTGAGCAGTTAAGAAAAACGGCAAGTAATTTCTGCTAAAGGGGGCTATACCAGCTTCTGAGGCGGAGGGTGTACCTTTTCCACAGTACAGTCACAGCTACTGATATTTTTGCTGAATAAGGCAAATTTTGTGTTTTGTGAAGTATATGAACAGTAGTAGTGAGCCAGATTATTATTATTTACAGGGCTAGAAAAATTTTAGGGTGTCCCACCAGTCAGTCAAAAATCTCACCAGTCAGCGTGACCGGACTATAGCATTACTATTTATGTTAACATTTTTTGGGGACACATAGAGCTTTCTTTTGGTGGTATTTAATCATCACTGGGGCTTTTATTTTTTACTATAAAATGAAAAAGTACTGTAAATTTTGAGTGATAAAAAATGTTTTCCCTACGTTATGTTAAAAAACATTTATTGTTACTCGTATTTTTGGTAAAAAATAAAAGTTGGGATCACGTCAGGTAAATATACACCAAACATGTCAAGCCTTAAAATTGTGTGCGCTCGCAAAATCGCACAAAACTACCACATCGAAAATTGGCCACAGGCGACGCTTTAAACGCTTTAACTGCTCATCAGTTTAGTGTTATCAGCGATTAATGGCCCTAAAATGATTGCTCTCACTCCGTTCGCGGTGATATGTAACATGTGCGACACAATAGGTTCAATCGTCATTTTCGCACCCGACGCATGTTTGCGTGTGTATGTGGGGGGGCGGGAAACAAAAAAATTGTTTTTTGTAATGCTTTTTTTTTTACACTTTATTGCTATCACATAGGGGCTAAGAAGCTCCCTACGTGATAGCCAATTTACATGAGAGGTCCTCTTTATGGAGACATCAGGGGTCTCCCAGGCCCCTGATGTCACCTAGGGACACCCAGAGAAGCTGATGAAGCAGAGATCTGCTTCACCAGCTTCTCCCCAGCTTTTGTAGCTGGGAATGACATAAAACTGCTGCTAATACAAGCGACCAGGCGTCTCTAGAGAAAAAGCAAATGTACATAAATGAGGAAGCCTCATTTGTTGCTAAATGTAAAAGAGGCCTAAAGCAGAACTCCAGTTTTAAAACAAAAATAAGATGCTCAGGAACAGTAACAAAAAAATTAATATTTTGCTGCAATACTTTACTTTAATCCAGAGCCGTCACCCATGTTAAACATTACCTGGAGTTCAGCCTTAAAATTCAACTAAAGAGACACTGTAACTTTGCCAATTCTGGGAAAAGTGACAGTCCTTCTGATACCCCACATGCTACCATCCCAGATAGCAAGGATAACTTGCTACAAACTTGTGGCAGGGTTAAATTGTAACTCTTGTAAACTTGCTGCACATATTTCTGGCAAGTTGTAGACCTGCAGAACACTTGCAGCACAAGTTCTAGGTGACACTTTTTGAATTTGTGGCAAATCTTAGCAAGAGCTCTACAAGCTCGCTGGTCTGGAGATTTGCAATGCAGACTTGCTGTAATCGTGCAACAAAATTGTGAAGCTTGGCAAGTCTGCAATAGTTTAGCAAGTCATTTTCAAACTTGCAGCTCAATTGCTTGCTATCTGGGATGCTCCATCGGATCCCTCACTTTTTTCCTCTTGGTCTGAGGCCCAAACACTGTCACATGAAGGGACCATGATGTCATCCATGCAGGTAAGCTCTGGAGTGGACTCCTGTAAAGTGGAGGTTGTGAGATAAGGTGGATTGGGGCGTACACCTTGCGGAGGGGGAGAGGCTGCATTTTATGGGCAGGTGATGGTGTATCATACAAAGTGTTCAATGTTGAAATTTTAGAATAATATGGGCAAAGTCATTGCTGACCTCCTAAAAATATGGGTTGCCTGGCATCTATGTTAATCCTCTGGCATCAATACTTTCTGAGTCACTGACATAGAACAAGTATCCAGATCAGAAGTCAGATAACAGATGGCCTGATCTGTATACCTGTTCTGGGTTAATGACTGTACTGCACTGTTGAAGCCAGTGTGTCAGCAAAACAACCAGGCTTTGGTGACAACAGAATTAGGTCACCAATGGCAGCCTACGTGTTCTATTCAAGAACAATCTCCGGGCTCCCAAAAAGAGGAAGTTGCTTCATGTAGCTTCTGCGTCTCTACAACTACTGATTTAACATACCAGCCGCAAAGGGAGTGCAAGGTTTTCAATGAGTCCACCAAGTCATGGGTTTGCATTGTGAGAAGTAGTAAAGCAGAACCATTGTATAATACTGCAAAGCAGAAAGCCCAACTGTGTATGTAACAATTAAATATGGCTTCCTCCATGTACATATATAATTACAAAATAAACATTAACATACATTAAAAAAATATTTATATCGAGCTGATCTTGTACAAGTTAGTCTACGAAAATACTGAAAAGACTTTACATTCCTTTTGCTGGCAGATCACGTTAGGGGACAATAAAGCGGACCATACACTATTCAATATATCTGAGTGTACAATCACGTTTTGGTTGTTTGGACAATCAGACTGTATAGTGTATGGCCAGCTTAAGGCATGTTCCCTGCTGAGATCTTATCAGCATTTACCACTGGAGCTTTGAGAAGGGCATCCACCCATTGATGAAGGGTATGCATGGTGCAACAGCATGGCAGAGGGCCGACACACTTGCTGTCCCTATGCTATAGGGATACCAGCCTGCATACATGGTGTGCCAGGCTGTCTAGCTCTGGGAGGAAGAGGGCTTTTATTTACATTCACAAAAATCTTACTGTACTTGTGACATCCAAAGGCTGCTCATTAGCTGCCACATTTGTCTAGTGCATATTCATCTTACTAAAAATAATGCCAAGTAAAACCTGTCAAATATCACAAGGGCAAATAGTCCAAATGGATTCTCTGGACCAATTTCTCATAAACAGACCCCATAATCTTATATAGTGTCTAGTAGAGTGCACATTAACTTGTTTTTGTGTCCTGTGCCTTGTTATTTGTTCTTGTTGCATAAACTTAATAAAAAATGTATATTTCCTATATTTCCATTAGTCGTTAGTTTCACTTTAATAGATTTATCCTTGAATTATTTAATAAAATAGTGTTATTTAAAAAAGGTTGAAAGTTACAAAGAGGATATCTTTTAAACATTTGGCACAGAGTAAAATGGCAGGTGTCATCCAAATATGTGAAGCGGCGCTATCACCCAACAAGTAAACAAATAATATGTGCAAAAAACAAATATTATAGTGAACAATACTACTGTGAGAAAAAAAACATATACACACCACACACACACACACATATATATATATATATATATATATACACACATATACATATACAGACACACACACACATTTATAATATTTTTCAAATATTTTCAAAATTAAATGTTCTAGTCAACTGTGTGATCACCTTGAATCACAAGGTGATAATCTAAAAAAAAACTCCAAATGACTAATAAAGTATTAGTTTTAATGAATTTACGAACACTTTGTTTCAAATTATGTGTTTTATACACTGACACAGGACGTTTGTTACTTTATTAGTCATTTGGAGTTTTTTTAGATTATCACATTGTGATTCACACAAACAATTGACTAGAAGATTGTTTTTCTTAGATTAATCGAGCGCAGAAGCCCCTGTAGATAAAAATGGCAGGTGTGTTTTGTAAATGTAAACTTAGCATTTTGATTTTTTTTAAAAAGGTAAAAACCCCAAAATGACTAAAACCTAATACCTGCTTTCTACAGACCTGTGATATCTAAAACTTCTGATATAGACCTTAGCAGTCAATGCTGTAGGTTCTCCCTAGTTAACTGGCTCCAGCAAGTCTCTCATGATTTAATTAATTGATGCCATAAAAGAAGATTACTATTATTACAAAATTAGCAGAAGTGTTTAAGCAGAGCATTTTGAACCAGGAAATAAAGCATTCAGGCCACTGCTACAAATAAAACAGAAAAGTGAAAGATTTATAGCAGTAAAGATGAAATAAGAAACCCGAAAAGGGGGGCATCTTACCTGATGTTTAAATGATGCTTTCCATGTTTCCTGGGCAGTGTGTATATGGGAGCTCTGTGTCACATAGCACTGAGCAACCATCACATGTCTCAAAGAAGTGCCAGGGGCGATGCCATCCAAGACTCTTTCTACATGGCGCAAGGAGAGACGACTCTCAGCTACAACTCCTCCAGGAACCAGCTGCATGGTACAGGGCTTCAATGCAATCTGTCCAGCACAGAATACTCCATCGTCAACCTTTCAAAGTGAAAAAAACAACAATCACTTTTCAAGACATATTTCAAACAGGCTCTTTCCACAGTGACAAGTTTACACACACATCTATCTATTTATTGTGATGTTGGGGAGCTCACAGAGCACTCGCACAGCGTTTTTCCATTAACGAAAAGTATTTATTGGTCTTTCAACAGCAGATACTCAAGGAAGCTCAACATACAATAGCTTTTCTTCAGCAGAATATATATATTGGCTCACCAATCACCGAGTTGTTCCATACACTCACGGTGTCCCAGACGTTTAATAGTTCTCTCTTGCAGCACTGCTGCTCCTGCCTCAATCTTCAAGGCCACTGTCTGGTTCCCCCAGACAACCTCAATAACGTGCCAAATCCTCACAATAAACTTCACAAACCCGCAGCACCCTGCTGCACTGGCCTCCACACTGACTCCAGGGTCGAGCTCTCCTGTCTCCCAGGTGGGAGACAGGAACACATCCCAGCACCCTCTTCATGAGGGATGTACACAGGTGCACAATTAGGTGCTGATCGCTACAAACCCACGGACCCAGGACTGGAGATTTTGTCCCACCCAGAGCTCTAAGAAATCTCCTGGCTCCAGGATCCCAACTATGATCCAGAAAGCCTGGAAAGGACTGAAAAGGCAGTCCTTTCCTGGTACCAGTAATGTCTTCCTGGAGCCACTCAGCCCCCCTGGCTGAGAATCCTGGGTGACTTTGAGGCCACCTAACACCGTGGTATTGCAATGCAATGCCACACTATCTATACACACACACACAATGTATTAGTCAGGTATGAGGAAATGTTGTAAAGTAGGAATGCTTTCAGAAATAATGTAAATAGAAGTGTTTATTTTTTATCAATTAACAAAATGGAATGTAAATGAACAGAAGATAAATCCAAATCAATATTTGGTGTGACTACCCTTTGCCCTCAAAACAGCATCAATTCTTCTAGGTACACTTGCACACAGTTTTTGAAGGAACTCTGTAGGTAGGTTGTTCCAAACATCTTGGAGAACTAACCACATATCTTCTGTGGATATAGACTGCCTCAAATCCTTCTGTCTCTTCATGTAATCCCAGACAGACTCCATGATGTGGAGATCAGGGCTCTGTGGAGGCCAAACCATCACTTCCAGGACTCCTTGTTCTTCTTTACGCTGAAGATAGTTCTTAATGACATTGGCTGTATGTTTTGGGTTGTTGTCTTTCTTCAGAATAAATTTGGGGCCACTCACGCGTCTCCCTGTTGGTATGGCATCATGGATAAGTATCTGCTTGTATTTCTCAGCATTAAGGACACCATTGATCCTGACCAAATCTCCAACTCCATTCTTCCAAAAAGACCTCTTCTGGCCAGACTTCTCTGAACAGTAGATGGGTGTACCTGGGTCCCACTGGTTCCCGCCAGTTCGGTACCAAAGGCACTGCTGGACAACTTCCTATGTCGAAGGAAAGTAAGCATGATGCATCTTTCATCTGCTGCTTTAAGCTTCCATGGCCGACCACCGTGTCTACGGTCCTCAACGTTGCCTGTTTCTTTGTTCTTCTTCAAAAGTGCTTGAACAGCACATCTTGAAACCGCAGTCCGCTTTGAAATCTTTGCCTGGGAGAGACCTTGCTGATGCAGTAGAGCTACCTTGTGTCTTGTTGTTGTGCTCAGTCTTACCATGGTTTATGACCTGTGACATGAAACTGTCTTCCACAACCTCACCTTAGTAGCAGCGTTTGGCTGTTCCTCACCTAGTTTTAAGCCTCCAACACAGCTGTTTCAGCTAATGTTGGTCTTTCAACCATCTCTCTCTAAACATCTCTCATGTCAGCTCCCAGTGCCTGAAGCATGTTGGGAAGAAAGCACTTGCAAGGTTTCAGTTCTGGAGCACAACAGATTTTGAATTATGTTAACCTGAGCATTTTGAAACATTATAGCTGTACAGTGTTATCAAGAATCTTTTATCAATTTTGCATCTTACCAGACATGTTATTGGATTCAGTGTATAAAACAAAATAGAAGACAATCACCATCATATTATACAATTACCAGAAACGTATTAGTTCTCCATAGTGGTCCTTTAAAGGTCAATCCTGAAGCATTATAAATACAAATGTTTTTCTAGCACCAGTGCGCTCCCCTTGACTGGCAGGCCCAACAAACTTGTCCATATGGATTTGAAGGCCCTGAGTAGACTTAGTTAAACTTCTTTTTTTAATGAAAATGTGAAGACACCCCCACCCCAAAAAAAGTTACTTACCTTGGACCCCAGCTTCCAGCCAGTTCCTGTTGGCGTCAGTGACATCACTCAACTTCACCAAAGACTACTTGGAAAGCTGAGGATATCAAACCTCACAAGTGTTTTATCACCATGCTAGTCATTTAGCTTGGGAAGTAGGGGCTAGCAGACAAGCACTAGTTAATTTTTTCTTAAAGGTGTGTGTGTGTTAAAGACTGCAAATCGGATTATTTACTATAGGAAATACTGTGCAAATGTTCCGCTTTGTTACACATTGCTCTTTCTAATTTATTCATGGATCCAAGTTCGTTGTACATACTGTTCAATTTTGTCAATGAAATAAACACATCTAATGAAACCTTCTTACAATGATATTTTATTCATCAGTTCTCACTCAGACATTAATAGTCAAGGTGCACAGCAGGACTCTAGCTTATATCTGCATATATTTTCAATCAATTCCAATCGCTTCCAGCACAGAGGGGATTAGTAACAGCACACACTATAAGAACACCCTATGGGTGGACAGAAATCCTCTAATTTCTTCCTCTTACAGCCCTTCTTTCTGACCCTCTATAGATCAGCTGTCTGTAACTACCTCTGATGCAAGTCAATACTCAATAACCTGAAGCCAACATATAAATGCAGTGCAACGTCTGAAGCACCTGCCCTTATCCTGGGGTCAAAGGGCATCCAATAGTCAATAGGGAGGCCAACATTGTCCCTTTATTTGGCTGCATCTAGCACTGCAGGGGAGCATGGGCATCTTTCTGAATACTGAGTGACACTAAGACTGCTCTACCTACAGGTTGACAATAAACAAGAAACGCAGTGCTGTCTCATAGAAAAAGACAAAGTGAAACTCCAATTTTGTTGAAAAAAAAAATTCCAGGCCAGTTATACATATGGCAGGTATTTTTAAATGCATTGCAGATTCTTATTTACACTGAGGTATAATCTGGGCTTCAGCCTGGTGTAGAGCTACAGTTAGCAAATAAAATCATATTTTTCTATTTCTGCTAACAACAGCACAGATCCAAATAGGACAGAGTGCTGCATACACAATGGGATTACAAATATATTTCTTACATTTTAGTGATGATTCTTCTTTAAAGTGACACTAAATAAGTCTTCTTTAATGTGACACTAAACTCAGGAGTTAAATCTTAAACATGCATTCAGGTACCTTAAAGCATTTTGTGGATGAAGAGTATTGGATTAAACTACATTGAATGCAATGTTTCATTTGTGTCTACAACATTTAGAAGAAGTATTAAAGTCAGGCTCTGTTTCCTGCTACAGACCCATAAAATTTCAGGATAAAGAAGCAATAAATAAAGAACTATATGCATTGTAAATGTATTGCTAACCAGTTATCTCAGATCTTCAGCCAAAAAAGTGTCTATTACTTCTCACATGTTCACCAATTACTGGGCCAGAAAGTGAGGAAAAGCCAGAAAATAAACAGGCGGACTAAGGTTTAACTAGGGTTGTACCATTACAGACAAATAATTTTAGGACAGTGGTGGAGCACCAGGGTCCAGTCACAGCTGCAACCGATGTGACCCTGGTCTCTGCTACTGACGCCAAGCTGTAGAAGGACTACAAATCCCAGCAACTCATTACACAGCAATGCAGAATACCATCAGCTATAGAGGACTACAAATCCCAGCAATCCATTATACAGCAATGTAGAATTATATGAAGCTACATACTCTGTGTTGCTCACCAGGTCTGCAAGCGGGTCTCACTAGGGCTGTCTGGTGTCACCAGGGCTGCGTGCAAGTCTCCTCATGGCTGTGCAGGTAGGTGCAGGTCTTAACAGGGCTGTTCCAGGTCTCCCCATGGCTGCTCGGGCAGGTTCAGGTCTTACCAGGGCTGCCTGCAGGTCCCCCAATGGCTGTGTGGGTCCTACCAGGAATGTGCCTGGTCTCCCATGGCTGCTGGGGTGGGTTGGGTGGCAGAAATGAAGAGGAGGCAATGTGCGGCCGGACTGGCGCTGTCAAAGACAGCCACCGTGAGGTCCTCAGCAAGCGTGGGACCTCAGGCAGACGCTTGTGTTTAAAAATTTAAAGCACAGGTATGCTTTGTATTGGAGCATTTTTATGAAAATCCCCAGTATAGGCACCAATACCGATACTGGTATCGGTGCATCCCTAGTTTTAACCCTTCCCTTTCTACTAAAAGTAGTACTTTTAAAGCTTTACTCATATCTCTAAAATGACAAATACACCGTTGGAAAACATGTTTAGTAATGTATATCTACAATATCCGTCTACTAATGGCTAAATCCGTCTCCCTTTCCTGGAACTATGGCACATGTGACATGAGAAATAGATTTTGCAGTTTACAGATGACATTTTCCAGCAATGCACTTCCCAGGATACATCACGGGCTGCCTCACTAATGCCAAAGAGGGCACTAAAACAGTATTTGTAAGTTAAAGGAGAACTATGGGGTCAGGGCTTTTCCCCATAGTTCTCCTTAGGGTAACAGGAGGACACAAACTAGCGTCCTCCCGTTACCCTAAGCTCAGTATACCGAGAGCTACAGCTCGCGGTATACTGAGATGCCGCAGCCGGAGCGGATCCAGACATCGATGTCGAGATCCGCCCAGCTGCGTGAGTGACGGCTGGCTCTGCCTATCTAGAGGCAGAGCCAGCTGTACCCGCCCCCTCCCCGGTCCGTTCCGCCAGTCAGCACTGGCGGATCGGAGCGGGGAATCCAGCCGCTCCCCTGTCACGGCAGAGAGCCATGACAGGATCGAAG